GCCTACAGATGGAAATGGATGCAAACCACCACCACACAAGAGAGCTTCTAGCAAATCCATTCTCCACCTAAAGAGCTTTCTTAGAAAATCATTACTTGAGAAGTCACTATTTATCAAAACCCATTCTGGGTGTGTGGGGGATGGAGGAGAGGAGTAAACAGGGAGTTACAGGACACAGTAGTTAACTGTGTCCCTGGCTCTACTGATAAGCCTCTGATGCACACAATCTCAGTCAACCTTCATCACAGTCTTATAAAGAGGGTATCATTTTTCCCATTTATACAAATGAAGAAACTGAGGCTCAGAGTATTTCAGATAACTTGCCCATATGGCTTCAAAGTGGCAAAAGTCAGTACCTGAATCCAGGTGTGACTTCAAAGAATGTACAGTAACAGTGTATTGTTTCACATGGTGGTGGTGTTTAGAGGCAGATGGAGAATGAGATTATATTTTGCATATTTGGAGTTTGTGGAGACTTGCATTCAAATGTAGGGACTGGGAAGTCTAGGATCCCATCCTGGCACTGCCTGAAATGAGCTCTCTAACTTTGGAGACGCCCTTCCAGATCCTGGGTTTCTCTGCCATACAGATGAGCCCCAAAGTCTAAAATCTGTGATGGGCACTGAAGAACTTTAAGTCTCCTTCACACAGACAAGAAGGTACTCATAAAAAGTATCAGCGGAATATTGGTGAAATCTAATGAGCATATCCTCTCTGGCAAAGGAGATGGGCATTACTGAAATAAAACAGGTAGAAGAGAGTGGCCATTTAGCACTTGTTCCTACCTGAAATTCAGAGTCCAAGGCCTTCTCACCAGCTCTCCCTCTGCCCTTGCTTCCTGTCACACTAAATACCCCTGAGAGACTCGAGGATTTCCAGAACACAACACCAAAGTTAATCTTGCAATGAGTTTGACAAGAAAACATTATTATGGAATAGAAGCAAGTCTAGCGGCCTCCTAATCAGAAGGTCTTATTTTCTAAAGATGGGGAACCACAGGCCCTTGGGCATTCAAATAAACCCCAAATGAGACTCCTGTAGAGGAAGGGAATGATGATTTACCTGGAGTCACAAGACAAAAGTGGGAATAAAAAAAACAGCTCTCGCCACTTCAGGTTGAATTATGGTGGTTCAACAGGAAGATAAAGCAACGGCTCAGACATTTGGGAGACACAATGAGAAACGTTCCCACCACCCCCTCCAATAGGTTCAAAAGTCCTCAGATCAATAATATGAAATAAGAGCATGACCATGGGGTAGTTATAAATAGGCACTATTTGATGAGCAAGTTAATTTTGCACACAGAGAACAAGTCCAAACAATCACTGCCAAAAAGTACTTCTCTATTCCTGATTTACTCTTCAAATGATTAAAGGGTGTATAGGAGAAAGAACAAGTAAATCCACCACATGAAATTAGTCATGACATTTATAAAAGAACCCCAAGCACTTTACAATGAAAGGTGGGAAAGCTGAGCTAAATTATATATTTCTACAGCTATCAAATTTTAATCTTAAAAATTTCAAAATGTCTTTGATGACCAAAGTCCACGTACCTATGGGATTCTTTGGAAGCCAATTGTGAGTTCAGCTGCCGGTGGCTTATTTGCATTCTAAAGAGTGCTAACAACATGGGATATTTCAGCATTCAAATTTATTTTAGAGAGTATAGCAATGAAACTCTTCATAACTTCAGGGGGCTGTTTTGTCTCAAAGTTGGTGTATTGCATAAGGAAAGGCAAAGGCATTTTAAAAACTGGATATATCTAAAAGCTTCCACAAAACCAAGGCAAATTATTTTCTTTGTGTCCTGGTTTCTGATCAAAGAGATAGAGAAGCATGAGGAAACAGTTTATTTAAAAGGCACAAGAACAGGAAGCCCCTAAAATTGGCATTGATCACTTGAATGAAAACTTGGTTCCATGAGAGAGCTAACATGGTTCCCTTTCTCAGATTTTTGTAGTATTCATTTCCTGCACTATTCACCTACCAGGTACATTACCCCACTAGACGATAAGTTCTTCAGCGTCTTGAGGAGCCCTTTGTGCAGGGGCCTCACCCACCTGACAGGTGCTTAACTGATGACGAAGATATGGACGGATATGAGCAATGTCCCCTTTCCTTCAAATCAGGGATCTAGTAGCTTCAGGCAGTTCAAGTGCTTGAGCAGTAACACCGTGCTCAGGGGATTATAAAACAAGACATGAATTGAAACATAATTTGGGGGGAGATGGCCTGTTAGTAAAATGCATGAAAATGGCACGCCGATTTAAGTCACCTTCCTTAACAGCTATTAAAAGAAACACTACGCCTTAAAAAAAAAAGTTATTGATGATGGACTGTGAAATAAAAAAAAATAAACAGGTAACAGTGTATTCATATCCTTGGTGGAGAGGGACAATGATTTTTATCTGCTTATTTCTTTTTCAAGAAAAATAATGATGAATTCAGCCCAACTCCAACAGAGGTAAACTTGGAAGTTTTTTTTAATTTAGAAATTATACTCTTTAAGATTTAAAAGACAAAATTAAGGCTATAAGCATCCAAGAAGCTGATGGATACTAATGCATACAAAAACCAATTTAATAGAAAACTGTAGTTTACAGTAAACATAAATAGAAATAAGTTGTACCCATACAATAAGACTAGTAAAATGCCCGACACGCAGGACACACACACTACATATTTGTTGAATTAATGAATAAATATATGTAGATTTGTCATGCTAAAAAAAAAAAAAAAAAAGAAAAAGAAATAAAGTCAGCAAGGATGTAAAAGAACTCAATACTTGTCAACCAACAGGATCTAATAGACACTTATGGACCATCCCACCCAACAGCAGAACAGGACACACACACTACATATTTGTTGAATTAATGAATAAATATATGTAGATTTGTCATGCTACCCTTTCTTTCTCTCTTTTTTTTAAAACCAAGCTGCTAACCCTTCTATAAATACCTTCGAAAGAGAAGCAAGATGACTGGCATTAAAAACAACTTGTAATTTTACAACTTACAATCTAAACTCAATATATCATGAAGGTGACAGCACTTGGATTGCTCCAGTGAATTCTAAGGAATTTTTTCCTTTTAATTTAAAATTATAGACTACACAGAGTATCTTCACAGCATATGGCCAAGTTTATGTGATCATCTGAGGAGAATAATTCAGTTTCATAAAAAATGCAAATTTAACAGTAGTGCATTAAATTCATGCCAACCCTGCTCTCAAGACAATCACCAGGGACCTCCCACATGAAATCAATATGCATACATCTATTTAACTTTTATCACTGGCTCACTAAGTAAATATCACACTATAGATCACTTAGGTATTCATTATTCAGACAAATAGCAAATGTATAAGGCAGGATGGTAGTGTCAAGTCATTAACAAATCAATCGATAACTATTCCCTTGTTTAAGACTACCAAATGAGGGCAGAGATGGGTAACATATGGAGAGCATATTTAATCTGTGGCCAAGGTGCAATCTGTTTATAGCAGAGGACTCCATACTCAACGCTGACTCTAAGAAAACCTCTCAAGGAAATCTTAAGTTGTACAATGTCTTCTCAGGCTTTAATAAGCATTAAAATGGATCCACCCTTTGATACTATTCCTTAGACACCTGTAAGGACCACACTGGGAGACGCCACTCTTCCACTCCCCATGGTGTCTAAGACGGAGGCAGAACTCAGAAACATCTGAGTGCACTACACGATGGAAGCAAATGGTGCAGTCTTCAAACTTCCCATTTTTACTGCTTTCAAAAAGCAAGATTTTTAGCATTTTATAGGGACCATATGTATTTACAAGCAGTTAGTCCCCCCAAAAGTGGCCAAAAATGGTCCCAGTTTTTGCAAAGAACTCACACTTTTTTTCTTTACCTGTGAGCCCTGTTTAACATCATATTCATGGTGCCAACCCTCTGAGAATATCATATTTTGTACATTAATTTCAGGATGACTGCTACTCCTGTCTGTCTCAGGGTACAAAGGACTAGTACATGGTACTATATCTGAGGTCACTTACCCATCTTATAAAAGACCGTGAAAATGAAATGAAGAGAAGGAAGTTCAGTTATTAGAATAAACTTAAGCTTCATGACTGCTTCCTCTATTTATACCACGTGATAAAAGCCACCGTCTACGAAGTGTCAGCAATGATAGCAAAAGAACTCAAAAAGCACTGCCCATTTTTTTCCTCTTATCCATTCCAAAAACCAACAGCAAGAGACTTAACCCAATGCCATCCAAATCATGTTGTTAATTTTAATTATGAGATTGAAGGCAACCCTAGGTTTGGACAAATCAAACATCCTTCCTACTATGCAGCAAGAGAGAGAAATAAAAAAGACCCCTCCTCACCTCTTACTCATGTCTGTGACTTGATCTACGGGGAGAACATGACTATTTGTTGTTAAACGCAGAAGTTAACACTGGCAAATACATACATCCCTGCTGGAAGCAAGTCATGCTGGGTTTTAAATGAACCTGCACTGTATTTACTTACCCTCCTGTTTTATTTCCTGGGTGGAAGGTTTAATTAATACTTCACCCAGAAACAATCACACAAGAAACAGCTATTACTAGGAGTAAAAGTCAGAACGGAAATCTCCTCTTCCTGTGACTGGCAGTTTTCTTACTGCATTTTCCTTCTTTTCAATGGAAATGTCACCCCCCTCCTTTCTGTTTCAATGATGAATGTGGAGTCAATAAAATGATCCACAAAGAACGAAAGTTGGAAAACATCCTCGTTACCTCTTTTTCTTTTTAAAGACTCAGTGCACACCTTCGTTCCAGAGTACAAAATTAAAGCAGGCCCTTGTCACCAAAGCAGCTTGTACTGTTATGTCACGCCCATTACATTGTTCTTCTTATCAAGTTAACAGCCAGGATGCTAGAAATAAGTTGCAACACATGCGGTTTGCCCCAACCCCAGCACCCGACAGAAACTGTACCCCACTTCCCACAAACTGTGTTCTTCCCCATACCTTACCCTGCCCAAGAGGTTGTCCTGAAGCAGTGTCTGTTGCAGCACTGGGGCCACGTCTTCCAAGCTCAGCATGTGGCAAAGGTCGGTCAGTTCCTCCTGTCCCAGGGACCCAGTGCCCGTTGTGTCAAAACTATCGAACAGCTCCTTGAGTCGGGCCTCATGCTGATCCTGCTCCACCTCATCCATCCCATAGCCCACAGTGCTCACCTGTGCAGAACAGAGACAAGGACATGTTGTGGCAACCCCTTGAATCCCACCATGGTCAGCCCTCAGCACACTCACCTCCCCCACCCCTGCAGGCCCCTGGGGAACACTCTGCTTCTGGCACACCCACAGCAGGATCCTGGGTCCCTCCAGGACCCAGCCTGGCCAGTGCAGCTCCCACATGCAGTCACACTAGGGGCAGATCCACAAGATCCAATCATATGAGGGGAAATGTTACCACAATGAGGAGGGGACATAGGCAGAAAGACACCCTCCTTTCCAGCCTGTTCCTTGGGTGGATGGCCAGTCTATCAGTCTCAAGACTGAGAGTGGTTTTCTCTATTAGCTCTTCTGGCCCAGGATACAAAGAAGATGAAAGCCACTTCTGAAAGCCAGACCATCAAATGATCTAACTGTTAGTACCAACAGACTGCAGGGCTGGAGCTTCCATGCAGGTCAGCAAGCTCTAGACAACCTGCCCAGATGCCGCAGTCTGCCAGCACAGCCAAGCTCATTAGCTCCACTTTTTTGAGCCTGGATGCCCCTGTCACAGTTAGACCAGTGGGCTGCAGCGAGGGGCACTGGAGGACCACATCTGCTACAAAACCACCTCCCTATTTGCATGAGGCCAAGTGCCATTTACTCGGATTCCTCCAAAAACAGCTCAATTAACTTCATTGGTGCAATTATGTGAGCTGTGACAGGAATAGTATTCCCTGAAGCTCGCTTTACTCCCAGGGAGTTTTGGGTAATGCTTAGTTGCCGAGAGAAAGTGGAAAACACTGCTCCAACCTTTCAGATGGTTGCAGGAGCCACAGACTGGCTTCTATGAATCACACAGCATCTCAGGGAAACTCCCTTGTCTAGAGCATCTCTCTCTTTACACCCGGTTAACACCTGTCTTCCACCTCTCTGACCAACCCCAAGCCCAGGCTTCCCATTTTGCCACCTTCCTGAGGATGAGTAAAAACTAAGCATCGGTCATCAATAACTCTCAGCCATCTTGGCTAAAAATATACATCAAAAAATTCCAGGTACCTTGTACTTTAAGAATGAAATCTGGTTTTTTCCCCTTGCATAACACTTCATTTTTAATGTGCTGCATTTTCCGATGAAAGCCTGAAACCTGCACATTTGAAGGTACCTTGGCCATGATGCAATGGATGCCAAACACAACATATACCCTTGAGACGGTGACCTCAGCCATCTGCGACCAGGCTCTCAGAACCAGCCTCTTGACTATAAAGAGCAGCACCTTAACTAAACCAAGCACTAGGTCAGAAACCTCTAACTTAAAGGTGATGTTCCACAGAGCAGGTTAACATAACATGGGAAACATGAAAGTTAAGATGTTGAATACAGCCAGAACTGAAAATAAAAGAGCTTTCTATAACTAATCAGTGCAGCTCTAGCTTGTGTTTGCTTTCTTTCCATAGACAATTGTTCAAAACATACAACCTGAAACAGAACCATGACCTTCTCAAGGGTTTCAGCAGAACTAGGGAGACTCAGAAGATGAATCTAAACAGCTCTGCCATGCAACTCAATTTTTACTAGAGCCACACATGAATGTGCCACAAATAAAGCAATGTGGCACAGTTTGGATTCTGGCTCTCTTCTCCTAATTTTATCAGTTTTTTCTATTACTAAGGTGCTGTTGGCTCTGGCTGGCTTCCCAGGGTTGGTCTGTTGGGTTAACTAATCACTATGTAAATGTTTTCAAAATAAGTTGAGAGTGCTGTATAAACATCAAAGCATCAGAAAAGAAACACCAAGGTGTTATGCAAAGCCACAAGAGTTAGGAATTGAGACAAGGCCAAGGCGTGGCTAATGAGATTCACTTAGAGTCCGCCAGTTAATTGTCAGCTAAGATCTGCTGAGAATCCCCAAGGTGCTCTGAATATTCAGTGTTGCCATAGATCTTGGACTCAAGAGTTTTACAGTCCCCAGGGCTGTAATCTGACCCAACTTCATAAAAGCCAGGCTATTCTGCTTTTGCTCAATTTTGCATATATGTTTAAAAACTCAAAAGTGAAAGAATGTTAACACTTCCCTTTTTAATATTATTTTCCCCCTTTCAAAAATTACTTTTAAGGGGCAGGATTTGTTCACTTACATCAATGCAAGTGAGCAATATAACTCACAATATACTGAGAAATCCTGATCTTATTTGCTGCTTTGACTTTGATAATCTATCATGCCTTGCTCTTTGGGAGGTCATTAGATTTTCAGTAAATGAAGCCTCTTTCATTTTATAACAGCTTTCCTTTTTTATCCATTTATTTCATCTCCCACCTCTCCAAACACTGAGCATAGGAAAATATTTTGACTGAAGGGGTAGGGAAGCCCCATCCCTGTGGAACAAATGCTCATACTGAAACATCCAGGAGATGTTACACATGGTGACAACAAGTTGTCAGTGCTCATCGGGCACAGAATGCATTTTTACCAGTATTATGATATTATGCCCCAAATGTTCATCGGTAATTTCATGTGCAAGAATTTTTTTCTTTCCACTTGGCAGAAATGTCTTTAAGGATAAAATCCACACCTTCTTTTTCTTTTCTATCTTCCCCAAAATGCACAGCACAGTCTGCTTTTCAATAAACATCAAGGACTGACTTAGTGGATGGATATTCCTTGAGAGGGAAATTTCCCTGAATGAGAGCTATAGAAATGAGCATATGAAAATTTTGAAATGCCCATTTCTTTCACACAAACTTACCCTCTTCCCCCATCCAGTCCTTTTTCAAAGGTATTTGCAGTCTTAGTCATAACCAAATAGAAGTAGAAAGCCAAAACCAACTGTCAAATTGTACTATGTAGAGCTGTCCGAAGTTTAATTCAACGGGTTAGTAATTAAGCCGATGGAGTCACAAACTTCAGCTACAGTGTTCTGTTATAGGATGAAATCCTGGCAGAGAATCTATACTAAAACACTTTCTCAAGTCCCTTGGTTTGCAGAATGACAACAATACCCATCTGGAAGCGTTGTTCTGAGGGTTAAATATGGCAAGCACGTGAGAGTGGCTAATCCCAGAGATAACTGATACAAGAGGGGAACTGAGAAAACAATCAAAGGAGGGGTGCACTGAGGAGGGGTAACTAAGCAAGTCAATCAGCCATAGATCAGCCTTCAAAGAAGCAGAGCCATGCCATAGAACAAAAGAGTGAGAAAAAGCAAGGAATGTATTACATATAAAACATCATTATCTAACATAATAATGACAGCAGGTGATGTTTAGTGCTTCCTTGATCTTCAAAGGCAGATTATTGACAAATTTAATGTCAAATAAGAGCAGAAAGACTGAAATGTTGTAGGGAATTCAGAAGAAATGATTTTTTCTTAAACTACTGAGCATTTACTATGAGTTTATTTAATCCTCCCAAGTCTTTGAAGTAAATATTATCATATTCCCATTTAAGATATAGAAATTGAGGTTTGGCAAAACTCAGTAACTTATCCAAGGATGCAGCACTAAAAGCAGGGTGGAGCTGAGATTTGAATTCTAGTGTGACTCTAAATTATGTTATCCCTCGATCCCACACTTGTACACAGAATGCATGAATGAGACCACACTGAAACAACACCACTGGCCAACCACTTATCTCCACCTTTATGTGTTAGCCAGCTGAACAGTACCAAGTACCAGAAACGACCATGGAATACTCCATGGTTACAAACCTTTCCAAGTTGGAATGAGGAGAGGTGGAGTTCCTTCTTCCTTACCCACCCTTGATCCAATTATTGAATACTTATAGCCTATAATGCACTAGGAATACACAGACAGAATAAGCATTCTCTTTTCTCTAAAGCAGCTTTGGCATTTAGGATATGGAAGAAATAAATTTTTATATAATATGATCATAAAGAATCCCACATCTTCAATAATGGGCATAGGCCAGGAATTGATAATTGTTAAACTTCTTCCCCCAAATAAATACTTATATATAATCTAATCTGTGCAATCCAATGCCTTCCAGAGTCAAAGTCTAACTGGCATCCACCAGTGGCAGGGGTCTTACTCAGAAATGAAGAAAGTTGGGTTTTGAGTGCAAAAATCCTCCTTCAAATTGCAAAGGACAATTCCAGTTTTATGAAGCCTGCCATAAACCTGGGCCTCTCCTCACCATCTACCTTCTCAATTAAATTGTCAGAAGCCTCTACAACTCCTTTGCAGTAAAGGGGCCAGTGTGGGCAATATTTTGGAATTCTAACTAGGGATGGTTAAAAACAAGGCAGATGCACAGAGCCATTAATCAAAACATTTACCAACCAATAACCATCCATAATGAGAATTATTCAGAGCATTTTCCTTCCAAGTAACTCAAAACAAGACTGCCCAAATGCTGCAAATCCTGAGAGGGGCTGTCCATTACAAATCTGTGTTGTGCTCCACTCGGTAACCCCAGCTGATGAAATCACAGTGCCAACGGGGACCGCAAAGGAAATAGGTGGAGGTGTGGTTGTAATAATGAAGTCCCCAACAGAAGACCCACATGAAGTGGATATGTGAACTTATGAACTTTCCATCGTTCATGGTACAGAATGGAGCTTGTAAGGACGGCAAAGGGCACGTCTGTTCTGAGCTGGAGAGAGTGAAAAGAAGACAAAGTCTGGCAAGTGAAAACCAAATAATAAATAAGCACAATGCCAGAGCCCTAGCCCAGGTCTTTTATTTCCCCTCCAGATGGTCTAGCAGCTGAACAGCTCTGTGGAATGTGTGGATACCCCTCTTGGCCCAGCCGCTTTCCTTGTGAGGGCATCATAATAGATGCTTTCGGATCTGTGTTCAGACATAGCTGTTGGGGGTCCACAGACCAGGCAGTGACCACCAAGTGACTAATTTAGTTACTTTAGAAAAGAAGTGATAAATGCACACCAACCCTGCTTTGGCAAAGCTTTTCATTCATGCTTTTAGCTTTTGCTGTTTGGCAAGTCAGAGCCTAATAATGCCAGTGGTCAAATTAAAGTCTTTCTTTTTCTTCTCTCTCTTCTGCAAACACTTTAATCTGTGGCAAAGATATTCAGGCTTACCATTTTGGGCTAATTTCAGTATAAAAGGAAATAGTGACAAGGACAAATTCACACTGAGAAAAAGCTCAACAGAAAAAGCAATTGCCCCCATTAACATATTTATATAGGAAAATACTTCTGCCAAAAACTGCTGCTGCTCAGCAGCAAGCTGATTACTGTCAGATAGCCTCCTCTCTGTTCAGACAGCACCTCACTTCTAGCTAGATACCCAAAGCGCAACAATATCACTATGAATAAAATCATGGTATAAAAATATAAGAGAAAAGTGCACAGGAAAAAAAACCACATTAAATAAATCTGAGAGAAAATACAACCTTTGCTAACTACACTATAAAATTTAATTTAACTAAGAGTATCAGTATCCTACTAACATTTATTCTACAGCGTAAACAAGCTTTCAGTATCTTACTGTCCTGAAGAATGTAGCAAACCCATGCTTTTGTTAAACCTAATAGGTGGATTACACAGTCAAGTAGTTAACTCAGGGTAGTTAGAGGTAAAAACCATTAGCCTAGCACAATGTAGATTTAACAACCTGTAATCAACTACAAAGAAAAATTACAGAAGAAAAAATAGACATGCTTGTCACTTTTTTAAAAAGAGAAAGCTTATAACAACTTCCACTTCTTGAGCCATATTTACTCAACTTAACATAGGACGCCGGAAGCTAACTCATGTACAGTTCCCTGGGGTATAAGTGAAGAGCTTCTCTTCTCACATCTATAAAAAATATTTTCCGAACTTTGTTTTTTAAGTGAAAATTAGGGTATAGATGCTTTGTAATTTTCCCATCCAAAAGCTTGAATAAATGTTTAATTGCTGATATGAACTGTAATAAAGAAGTGTGTTAATTTTAAAAAAGTTGCTCACTTGCATAATCCCATAATATTTTAAAATTTCTATTTGTAAATAAGATAAAAATACCTTTCTGCAAGCTTCGGTATCCCCACAAACCCCTGCCCAACAGATGCAAGTTCAATAACCAGAATTCAAATTGCACTATTTATTGGCTTACAAATGAATTGGCATTTATAAAAATAAACCTTCTGAAAATGCTTTAGGCTGTTTGAATCCCTCTAAAACGCTCTGGCTAAACTTGCCAACCGTTTATCAATGTAAGACTGATAAAATGTATTTTTATTATCAACATTAAATGGAAGCATCAAGACTGGTAAAATGTTAGTTTAGAAAGTCATTTGCGGTGACATTTAAAACAATTTATTTGAACAACATTTGACTCATGATAAGAATTGACTATTAAATTAAGATTGTCTATTCAGAATTCACTGGAGCCCTATTCTCCTCCTCTGAGACAGTTAATATGTTTTCAGATTAAGGGTCATTACATATCTAAAATGAAAAAAGGAATAAGGAAAAAGAAACCCACACCATTCTGAGCAAGTGCCTATTAAAATGACTGATCCTTGACATTTTAATGCAAAGACTGTGTTTATGATGGCTTCCTCTCCACTGCCCCTGTAAATAAAGCCTTTCCCTGTGCTGGGAAATACCTTTGTTGATGTCCAACCCATTTGGAACATCTCTATGCCCTACCTTTTATCTACACTGCAGTTCAGAATGCTTTCTTCTAAAGAATCACCAGAGAATATAAAAATAAACCTGCACACAAACTACCCTGCAGTTCACATCACCTCCCTAAGGACACTGACAACAGCTGGAGAGAACACACAAACTTGTTTTTCAGCCATCCTGTGCTACTCTTACATACATTCTGGGAATTTTCACAGCTCCCTTCAACTTCAGAAAAAGATCTGCCAATAGTTCAGGTCAGTCACCAATATAATACGTTCACCACTAAAGAAGAATCAAGATAAAATCAGGCTGACACAAGAAAAGACATTTCCTTGTAGATCATCAAGCCTTAGGAAGCACGAAAACAGATATAAATTTGTCATCGTACTTAAGGGAACCCAACCGAGAAACCTTCGATGGTTCCAGAAGCTTAGCTCATGTGTCATGATGGACTTTACCAAAATTCCCATCCTACAAAGCTACCAAGTCAGTTACAAAGACACCTATGCAATCTGTTTTGATTTAATAAATTCAACAGTTGAGTTGCATGGCAAGACCATCTCAGAAATTCCTCAACACCAGGAGAGAATGTGTCCCAGTTAAGCGAAGAAAGCAGAAGATCTCATAATATCTAAGTTGTCTAGAAACATGATATGTGGTATAACAGTTTTTCCAGCTCCTATTTTATTTGCACCTTAACCCGGGTTTGTCAGGGCTGAGGCTAGGAAAAACGTCTCCTGTCTCTATCTTTTTTCATTTCACTTATAGAGCCTGAAGCAGTGGCTATTGCCATCAGTGGTGTCCTTTTGTCAGGGGCCGGTTTGGCAGGTGCAGAAGCCCAACCCGAGGAACCCTGGAAGCTTATCCCCACACTCCCTTCTATTCCGCTAATCCGTGCCATGAGGCTTTTAGGCAATGACCAAGTGTCACTCTATTCTTTCCCTTTTCCTAAAAATTGCACTGGGAAAGTCTGTCTACGTGTATTAACCTTACACACCTCCCCAAATCTCCATGCTAAGGGCTCAGACAGCTCTCAGCTACTCAGACAGCCCGGGCAAACACCTCGGGTTTCCCCACAGCTTTCTCTTCAGCTTCTCAATCACAAGGCTGCCTGGGTGGCACAAGCCTACAGAACAAGCACCCTTCCTGTTCCCTCACGGACACAAGTCCGCTCCTGGACCAACGCACAGGAGCAGCTTTCAGCTCGGGGCTGCGGGCTGCGGCGGAGGCGCCCACGCCGGGCGCTGCTGCCGGGCGGGGAGGCGGAGGTGCGGCCGGAGGGCGGGCGTGCCGCCCCGGTCCCTGGCAACCTGCAAGGCGTCCCCGACCCGCCTGCCCATGGCCACCACCAGGAGCCACAGACACCCCATTGTGCCACCAGGCAGCACGCTCCCGCGGCCCCGGGCGCCCCCGCCTACCTCTGTCGGCCTCTCCGGAGCGCCCGCACAGCCGGCCGCCTGCCTCCAGTGCTCTGCAAAGCGAAGGAGGACGCTTTGTTAGGGCTCGCGGAGCGCGACCACACTTCGCAGCCGGCGCCGCGGTCCGGGCGGGCGTCCTTCAAAAGGACGCGAATGGGGACCTGC